TTCTTCGGCTCCTTCGTTGCTGTTCGACTTCACTCCTTCGACCACGTTCCCTTTCTGTCGGATCGGAAGTCACAACATTTTAATCGGAAGCAACTACGGGTGATCGCTCGCTGTGAAGGTAACTACCTTTCGCCCTTTCACGCGCTTCTTCGGCCAAATCCCATAAATTCGTAGGATTTATTCTGCCGTGAGGAGAATTAGCAGGTGATCAAATCCCGTATGGCAGGATTTGGCATAAATCCTACTCATAATCGGCATAAATCCAACATCCAAACAACCCCTAAAGCTCCCTAACCCTTCCGGATACTACAAGATGCATAATGAGAATCATGAGATTGAGAGATCTACCTTCTTCAGCATCGAGAGCCATTCGTCTGAACGGGGAGAGTCTTCCGAGGCCAGGGTAGATCTCGTGAGCGGGAGATTCTTCCGCATTGATGCATTTGCGGTCGACCTCTTGAACAAGTTAAGTTAATAGAGAGTAGAGAAGGGAGTCGGGAGGAAGGACAAAAATAAAAAATAAACTGAGATTAGGGCTCTATTTATAGAGAATGCGCAAGGGTTATCGGACTGAAAAATAAATTAGTAACTATTCAATTTGAAGTCTAGATGCGCCCAAATACGAAGTTACCGTTATGCATAACTTAATTCAAATTTTATTTAAAGTTAATTCAAAATTAGAAAAAAAAAATATTTTTATAAATTTAAGTATAAAATAGATGAATTATGCATTTTAATTTTTTAAATATATTTCAATTTTTTACATATAATAGTATATTTTATAAAAATGCATTTCAAACTTGTTCTATTTTTATTTGAAAAAGTATTAAATAAAATTTTATTTTATTTCATCAATTAACCAACAATTTCTTTTATTAAATAAAATTTTTGGCTTACTAGCTAGGCAAAGTTTTTTGGGCACACTCTCACCAAAATGATAACCTTCACCAAAAGGTACACAAAAATGTTATACAGATATACCTAGATGGGGTACCCTGTAGTACCCAAATGCGGTACCTAGAAGTACTCAAGGTACACAAAACTTCACATAAACACACAAGAAAGGAACACATGAGCAAAAAAATGAAATAAATAGTCATTGAAATGAAATGTTAAATTCTTCATTTGAACAATAAATAATGGATGTCAAAACACATCAATATCTACCAATACACAATGATATCCACCGGTACACACCGGTATCCACTTGTACGCACAAGTACGCACTAGTACCCATAGGTGCACACCAGTACACATTGGTACAGAGTATAAAAAAATCCTAAACCTAAACCCTAACTTGACATTTGAAGAACGAATAAAATTAAGATATCTCGTAGAAAAAAAAAACTAACATATTTCGTGAAAAAGCTTCTTATACGGGTAATAAAAAATTAACCTTAGTCATGACTAGTGTTTCTGCAACGAAAATCTAAAGCAAACAGAAGCAGCTTTGGACGAAGAAGAAAAGTGACTTTAACACGAGATAATAAAACGCCCCCATCGATTTTGAAAAACTGAAACGTCTCGATTGATTTTGAAAAATTGAAACGCCTTAATAAAAAGTAACTTTTTGCGTTTGGTCAGGGTCAGTCATCGAGCCAAGCAGGGTTGTCAAGCCATAAGTGATGACATTTTATTGGAGTCTGGATGTAGAGCTATGCCCGGAGTCCACACCGAATAATTTTTCTATCAAATGACATCACAGAAGACACAAAACACTCTTTCTTTAATCGCACTTTGAAATGTATTACTGAGATCAACTCAATGTGTGTTTGAAATGGCTACAACTCTCAGTAAATTAGGTTGTGAAACTTTTGCATAAAAAGTTACTTTTTAAAATCGTTGCACAAAAATCATAATAGTTTACTTGGATAGTATAACTTTCCATCTCCTATTCTAACTAAAGTACCTTGATACTTTTATATTGAGATGTCTGAAAATTTTTTAACTGCCAAAACTTTTTAAAATGTATATAACAAACTAATAATTCTAAATTAAACTTTTATCCAATTTCAACAAATATTATTTTACTTTTAAATATCAAAATATAAATAAATTTTTTTAAGAATATACAATCATACTTAAAAATAATCTGAAAAAAAAATCTTTCAAATTACTTCATAAAAAATTATATTTCAAAAAAAATAATAATATATTTTGGCAAAAAATTTAAGATTGAATTTAAAAAAGTATGTAATTACTTATCATGAAAAAAAAAAATCTATATATCTAAATTGCTATTTCAATGTAAGGAAATACATAATAAAAATTATTTGAAATCCAGAATAAATTGTTACATATTAATTGGATAAGGTTAGCTAATATAATATCTAATATTGAGTTTAAAGAATATTGAATATATTTTAAAATTTACAACAATGAGAATCCCTAAACTTTCTGGCCATACAAGGGATTAAGTTTTACAACTTATGGTAGCTAGATACATTAGGAACTATACATACTACCTCAACACGTCCGTCATAATCAAAACAAATTCTACACAGTATTCTAAAATGGTTAACATATATTGAAAAAAATTTCCTATACTTCATGCTTATATTAAAAGAAACTTTGTTCTCTTGGCACTTATGATTATCAGAATGGGAGTGTAGAAATGGCTGATCTAATAAATTTTCAGGTGTTTGGAGTTGAACTGGGACAGTAAAGCTGTGAAACTAGATGACTAGTTACAGACTGGAAGAATATGATAGTCAAAAAGGCTGGGCATATACATCTGGCTTTGTTAGATATTTAATACCTTGCAGCGCTGGAAATCTTCTCAATTCTGAGTAGGATGGGATGAACCAGTGCCCAAGTCTATATAATCTTAGATATGCATTTCTTCCAATCAGTTGAGGAAATTGCAAACATCAAAAAGCATGACACTATAAGAAGTTTTTACTTGTAAAGTACAGAAGTAGCTCCGTCTGGACTCCAATCCTTTATTGACATGAATTTTTTTGCAGCCATGTTAATAATTTTAATAAATGACCCGAAGACCCGACCCAACTATTTTATATGACATTCATTTTAAAAAAAAAAAACACCAGTGACTCTCGTTCCTGAAATTTAGGATTTCACGTAATAAATTTTTTAGAGAATCATCCCCAAAATTTTGGAGGAACAAACGAAGAAGATTGAGACTACTTTAGAGGATGTTCAATTATCTAATGAGATGATATGCTCTCAGGACATAGCGTAGACTAAAAACTTTTAGTTAAGAAAACTACAACCAACCATGGAGAGTTTACAGAATAGTGCAGAGATTGTAAGGTTGGGTGAACGGGAAGTCAATTCGGTTAGGAAATAGGGTCTATTCTTCAATTTTATTTTTATGACAAATGCCTCAAATAGAATAGACATGTGTAATATTTTTTTTCTCATTTTTGAAAATTTTGAAAAGTTAAGTTAGAAAGATTGAAAGACCATATGACATTTCTGATCATATACACGATGCTCAATGATTTTTATTTGTGTTTTTGATGGATTTTTTTGGAAAATTGTCTACATATGACATTTCCATTTAGATACACGGTACAAACTATTTTGTATTAAATTTCTTGAGGACATTGTTTATAGTCTGTATAGAATGTGTACAAGTTGTGCACTATATGCATAGAGAATTATTACAAAAGGTTATACACACTTTTGTGAATTGTTTTCTCTTAATATTTTTTTCATTGCACACAGGACGCATACAAGTGTGAGGATGGATATAAGATGTACTGTAGGTATGCACATAATTTTAATTTTAGTGTTTGCAAGAAACATTACAGTTACTAGTCAAATTTCAAAAACATCAGATGAAAGGACCTTCTAACCAAAAAATAATGAAAAATGACCTAACAACAAAACCAAAAAACTTTTGCATTTCCACATGATTTCAGAATTATCATGACTCATTGCCTTTATTTTCTTGAAAAATATTACCTTCGGATTGGGTGTCTCATCGTGCTGGCAAAAAAAAAATTAAAATAGCTGAGCCAAATCATTGGGTCACACATTATTTAAGAAAATCCACGTGGCTGAAAAATAGAAATTCACCCAAAAACACGTGTCAACCAAGGACTGAATTTCAAACATAGATCTACATCCGGACTCCACACATAATAATTGCTCCACTATAAGGCACATCCTAAATGGATTGAGTAGGCCAAAAATGACAATACTTCATAAGGTATGGCTTAGGCCAATATATTGCCTCTAAAGGCAAACCCCTTACTCATTAAATAATTGGGATTATGAAAAGGGTAACACACATTTTTATTTTTTTTGCGTTAAGGAAAAAAATTCATTTGTTTCTACTAGTTTTCTAAGTAATGTGTGTGAAAGAGCATGTATTGCTCAACATGAAAGCAATATCAATAGACAAGTTTAAAACAAGATAATAGGATGACATAAAATATAAGTCAAACTCTGGTTCCATATATGATTGCTTTATAAAAAGTCACTTCATAACAATAAAATGATAAGAAGACAAGAAAGTTTCTATAACAAATAAAAAGTAATAATAAAGATTTATATTTCACTCTACTCATGTAAAACATATGAACAATGCCCTTAGAGAACTATGTGTAGAATGAATCTAATTCATCTCATTAACCAATACATATATGATTTGCTCCCTTAGTTGTTTCATCTCCCCGACATCTTCATCATCTTGTGTCGCATAAGTTATTACTTCATTTTCATTATATAATAATCATTCCCCAATTCTGTACTTGTATGCCTCATGAGGTATGTATAATTGAGCCTTATCACATAAGAGACATTTGCCAAAATTTTCATAATGTTCTTTAATACACTCTGGAAATAGGAGGAGGGGATATAAATAGATAAAGTTTATAATGAAGAAATAAAAGACAAAAATGTCCCTAAGGATGACAAATAACTAATCCCTCAAGTAAGGGTAAAATTAAAAAATAAACAACAATAAATCAAATATAATAAATGAATCAAAAATAAAGCGGTGAAATCATGGTCGTCGATCATCAACCCCGTCTCTAATAAACTCCCCAAGGTTGGATGTCCTCATCAATTATTTTGTGCGAACTCTAGACGTAGAGCTACGTTCGGACTCCAATAAATTGTTACACGTGGTTTTTCTACGTGGAAGACGCCCACGTGGATATTAATTTATCTTGCAGCCCAACCCGATCCAAATCAATTATCTTGCAGCCCAACCAGTCCAAACGTTAAATTTAGGATTTTCGCTTCTTTTACAGGATTTCAGCCACGGATCACCATAATATATAAGGCTTTTAGCAAAAAATTTCATAGAAAAAAATGCTAATGAAGATGAAAATTGATTTGGAGAAGGACATTTATTTTTACAAGCAGACGACATTCTGACAGGGCGCGAAGGAAAAAAATATGTTTGCAGAGATCCAGGAAGTCAACTCCCAGGAAGTAGAAAAATT